ATTATTTCACTTATTTGTATTTTCGGCACCGACAATTACATTATACGGCACCGACAGCACCGACAGTGGTGTACAAGGCGTAATCTCGCCATAATCCAATGTGCCAATGGGCTTGCGTGCTTATGCGCACTAGTGATTATCTATTCTAGTAGAGCGCGTTCCCGAAGGTTCGGATTATCTGTTGTTTCTATGTATTTCTGAGTATAAATACGCCTTGTACTCACCTTTAGTGCAACATTCTCGAGTGGAAATTCGATCCTGTGACACAAATAAGTGATTTGAAATAGCTCTGCTTTTAGCACCCCTTAAAAATACTCGAATTGGTCTCTGCACGGGCCGATCCCACATCATCACGTACCCTATCTGGGAGCCTCCTCCCATTGGCCACAAACACCACTTGGTGTTCACACGACAGCGCATGGCACCGTTTGATGGGCCCAGCGCACAGTGTCGTCTCGGCCTTCACACCCCGTGCACGCTTCGTGTGGGCTGCACAGTCCAGGAAAGGGCGGGATCTTCAGACTCCCCTACCATCTTCTGGCACGTCCTTGTTTGGGAGGGCTGACTTCACTTCCCCCTTACTGTGCTCGGCTGCTTGCCGCATAGAAGCTAGCGGCCAGTTTATCCCCACCTTAGCCGCCATGGTGACATCACCAGATAATGGGACGTGCGGTGCTCGATGCAAGCGCCACAAGAATGTTCAAAAGCCTCCAGTTCTAGGCCGTCGCCCAGGCCCGTCATGCCTACGCCTAGTTCCTCTAGCAGCAAAGAGACAGACAAGGAGTGTCAGAATCCAATAGGAGTGGGGCCTAGGCTTAGTAGCCTAGGCCCACACTAAGAGGTAGTAGGATGTGCCCTAGGACTAGGGTTTTGGGTATGCGAAGGAGAATGGTGAGAATGAGATGGTTGAACTAGCAAGAGTTGGGATACAAGTAGGAAACCCTAAAGGGTTGTACTCACTGTTGAGTACCCCACTGCAGGCTAGACAAGTAACATTCTGACACACCCCCATAGCCAAAGTGGGGTGCAATCAGCAGAGCAAGCAAAGTAGAACAAGCTCAGGGTGGATCACAATGTCACCACACATTCTGAGCACAAGTTCAAGAAGCAACAGTTTAAAGTTCACAACTATGAGCAAAGCTAGTGGTAGTCACAACGGGCAAGTGAGGAGGAGGAGAGACTGTGAGGGGAGAGAAGATAGGAGACGTCGTTTGGAGCTGCAGTCACATGGCGGCTGACTCAGATAACTGGTGCAGCACAAGCTCTCAGTGGCTACCGAGGTAAGCACCCCGGAATACAGGAGTAACAGGCTCTGCAGCTGCGGCAGGAGCATCGGACCCACGGGCGACTGGTGTAGCACTCACTCTGCGCTACCGAGACAGAGCCCCGGACTTCAGGTGCTGCAGACGACAAGACGGCAGCCTCGGCTCAACCTCCCCCAACTGTCCCACACACCCCCCACACACCCACTGCTTCACCCCTAGCTCCACTCCCCCTTCACTCCTGAAACCCTAAACCCTCGGCTCCCACACATCCACCCCCCTCAGCGGCAGCTGCAGCAGTGGGAGACGAGGAAGGAGGAGGAGGAGGAAAGGGGCGACGCAAACGGAGCACCCCCACACCCGCCACCCCCACACCCCTTGTGGTGGGGGGGGGGGGGGGGGGGGCAGAGCAGAACAGTGCGCACGAGGGCGCAGACAGTAGCAGAGCGCACGAGGGCGCAGGCACGAGGCACGAGGCACACGGCACGAAGCACAGGCACAGGCACAGGCACAGGCAGAGGCACAGGCACAGGCACAGGCAGGTAGGTAGTAGGCTCGAGGCACAAGGCACGAGCAGGCACAGGCACAGGCACAGGCAGAGGCACAGGCACAGGCACAGGCACAGGTAGGTAGGTAGTAGGCTCGAGGCACAAGGCACGAGCAGGCACAGGCACAGGCACAGGCACAGGCAGAGGCACAGGCACAGGCACAGGCACAGGCAGGTAGGTAGTAGGCTCGAGGCACAAGGCACGAGCAGGCACAGGCACAGGCACAGGCACAGGCACAGGCAGAGGCACAGGCACAGGCACAGGCACAGGCAGGTAGGTAGTAGGCTCGAGGCACAAGGCACGAGCAGGCACAGGCACAGGCCGGTAGGTGGTAGGCTCGAGGCACAAGGCACGAGCAGGCACAGGCACAGGCAGCATCGGGCAGCAGCAGAGCGTACCGGGTCCAGGGGCGGCTGCTGCAGTTGCTGGCGGCTCCAGGGGCTGCTGCAGCAGTTGCGGGCGGCTCCAGGGGCTGCTGCTGCAGGTGCTGGCGGCTCCAGGGGCTGCTGCTGCAGGTGCTGGCGGCTCCAGAGGCTGCTGCTGCAGTTGCTGGCGGCTCCAGGGGCTGCTGCAGCAGTTGCGGGCGGCTCCAGGGGCTGCTGCTGCAGGTGCTGGCGGCTCCAGGGGCTGCTGCTGCAGGTGCTGGCGGCTCCAGGGGCTGCTGCTGCAGTTGCGGGCGGCTCCAGGGGCTGCTGCTGCAGTGGTCCAGAGGCGGCTGCGCCAGGGGCCAGGGGCGGCTGCTGTAGGGGCGGCTGCTCCAGGTGCCAGGGGCGGCTGCTGCAGGTGCGGGCGGCTCCAGGGGCCAGGGGCGGCTGCTGCAGCGGCGGGCGGCTCCAGGGGCGGCTGCTGCTGTGGCGGGCGACTCCAGGGGCGGCTGCTGCAGTGGCGGGCGGCTCCAGGGGCGGCTGCTGCAGTGGCGGGCGACTCCAGGGGCGGCTGCTGCAGTGGCGGGCGGCTCCAGGGGCTGCTGCTGCAGTTGCGGGCGGCTCCAGGGGCTGCTGCTGCAGTGGCGGGCGGCTCCAGGGGCTGCTGCTGCAGTGGCGGGCGGCTCGAGGTGCGCCCTGGCCTGGCGCAGTCCGTACGGGCCGCGCGCGGGCCTGGCGCAGCCCGTACGGGCCGCGCGCAGGCTGGACGGGCGCGCGCGCGGGCTCTGATACCATGTCAGAATCCCAGTCACTAACCACTGGGATAAAAGGGCTTGTTTGTGTAGCGGGTGAGTGCGCCCATAACCCCCCAGGCCGACGTGCCTGTAACCCTTCCCTAGGATCAATCGGGGATCTCCAGTGGACCTCTGACACCCCCCCGCACTGGGATGCCCGAGGTGCACACACTGGGATTCGAACCCGAGACCTTCGCTCTGATACCATGTCAGAATCCAATAGGAGTGGGGCCTAGGCTTAGTAGCCTAGGCCCACACTAAGAGGTAGTAGGATGTGCCCTAGGACTAGGGTTTTGGGTATGCGAAGGAGAATGGTGAGAATGAGATGGTTGAACTAGCAAGAGTTGGGATACAAGTAGGAAACCCTAAAGGGTTGTACTCACTGTTGAGTACCCCACTGCAGGCTAGACAAGTAACATTCTGACAAGGAGCCCAGGGGGAGCCCACGCCGTCCGCTTCCGCAGGTGAAGGTTTCCGTGTTTCCTGTATCAAGCCGACCGCAGGGACCAAAGAAGCGGGTGCGCGACGCAGAGACGCCGGAGCCAAGGCGCCAACGAACTGAGAAGAACCAAGAAGCTTACACCATTAAGGATAAGCTTTACTGGCTCAAGATGCTTGACGCGCAGCCCCCTAAGAGCGTCCGGGGCTCGGCCAGGCTCGCCAAAGTCCAGCCGAAGCAGATCCGCGACTTGCGCAGCATGAAGGCGCGGCTCGATAAAGCGGCAGGGTGTCGCCAGCGTCTCACTGGTGCGGGACAAAAGCTCAAGTACCCCGATATGGAGGTTGCGGTCTACCGCAGGTTCCTGTTGCGCCGTGGGAGAGGCCTGCCGGTTTCCGTGGGTCTGCTGCAGAGTTGGGCGGCGACCTACATGAAGCATCGCTACCCCCGAAAGAAGTGGTCCCACCGTTGGACAAAGAGGTTCCGCAGGCGGTAGTCCCTAGCACAGCGCGTGCAGAGATCGGGCAGGTACCTTGACCTCGGCCTACCCAATGTTTTCTAATGTAAAGTCGTACATGTCTACCTGGCCTGACTCACCTTTATCCCGCACAATGCGGATTGCAAGCAGAGGTGCGAGGCCTTTTAGGAACTCGTGAGGCAGATGTGCGTGCTTAACTCCTACCCCCTCACCTGATCGTGAACGCGGATCAGACACCCCTGTTCCTTGAGATGCCCGCCGAGGTACACCCTCAAGATGAAAGGCGCTCGGACCGTGCACGTGCGCACCACGGGGTACGAGAAGCAGCGTGTCACGGTAATGCTGGCGGTGACTGCGGGCGGCTTGAAGCTCCCTCCGTTTGCGGTCTTCAAGCGGAAGACCTTACCGAAGATCCCCATACCCCGATGTGAGTTGTGACGTACCAAATGTTCTGCCGGGATGTGGTGAAGAAAAACAACCGCTGATGTTTCTTTTTTGGTGTGCATGCCTTATCATGCGAGCCCAGGAAAAGGGCTGGATGGATAAGAACCTTGTACAAGACTAGACAACGAAGGTTCTCATCCCCTTCCTAAAGCCGTACCGCGAAGAGGAAGGGTACAAGGATGCGCTCCTCATCCTCGACTCCTACCGAGGGCACACCACGGAAGCAGTCGGCCAGACGATGAAGCAATTCAAGCTCACGTGCGTGGTGATCCCTGGCGTTTGCACCTTGCTGGTGCAACCCCTGAACGTTTCGGTGAACCGCGGCTTCAAAGCCGAGGTTCGCCACCGCTACTCCACGTGGTTCCAGGATGAGGGGATTGATTCTTTCACCCCTGCAGGTGAGCATGAGAGTTGTGCTTGTTTCAATGTGTGCCTTGGCCGTGTGGTGACTCACGTCTGCCCCTAACCGTGACATTTCCCGCATGGAATTTGAAGAAATCTCCCCCGGAGAAGGTTCTCCGCTGGACTGCGGAGGCATGGGCCGACGTACCAGAAGAATTGATCAAGAAATCCTTCGTGACATGCGACATCTCCACCGCCGTTGACAGGAGCGAGGATGAGCTGATCCTTGCTCACCTCCACGATAAGGCGGAGGTGGAGGTGCTGGAGGATGTGTGCGAGGAGTAGCTCGACGAGCTCGTCCCCAGCCCTTTCTACCCTGTCCCTGCCGCCCCTTCGAGCAAGAATAGTGATGATGCCTCCTCTCCAGCTAAGGAGGAGGAGGAGGAGGAGTAGGAGGAGGAGGAGGAGGAGGAGGAGGAGGAGGAGGAGGAGGAGGGGGAGGAGGAGGAGGAGGAGGAGGAGGAGGAGGGGGAGGAGGAGGAGGAGGAGGAGGAGGATGAGGAGGAGGTTGAGGAGGGCGAGGAGGAAGACAGTGTGGAGGTAGAGGGTGGAGCGGGATGGGAGGATGATGGCGATGAGTGGTGGGCAGAAGGGCGATATTATGTGGAGGAGGTGGAGATTTGGGTTGTGAGACAAGATTAGGATGGTAATGTGGGTCTGCATGTGCGTTCATGGGTGTGATCTCTCTTAATCAACATGGAATATGACCATTTTCAATTGCATTTTCATAAAATCCGCACTTTTCTATGATGTGGGGGGGTCTTATAATGTTAGGAGCCATTTAGGGGGGTATAACTGAGATGTACTCGAATAGAGTACCCCCCTCCGTATTATAGACCCGAGGGGTCTACAACTGGAGGGTTCCTATATACGGGGGTTTACGGTAGGCAAGTGTCTAGAATATTGATGCAATGGAATATTGATGCATGAAATTTAGATGCATGGGACATTGATGCATGTGACACTGGTAGTGATGCACGAGATATTGAAGTACAACGCATAACACATTACCTCATGCATTTAGCAAAGTCTCTATTTTGTCAAGCTTGTAGCTAAGGCAGGTGGTTGAGACCATCTAGAGCATCTCAATGGCACTATCACATATTGTAGACCTATTGTATCAGGCATGAAGCAATTGAGAATGACAAGGGAGTGTAAAGCATGTCAAACATTATATGTTTATATGATTGTAGGCAGTAGTGGGTGATACCTTAGGGGGTACACTGGATTAGGGTTTCCTATTTGTATCCATCCTTCTGTTAGTACAGTCATTCCTGTCCGTTCATTCTGACATGGTTTCAGAGCAGGTCCTTCGCTAGGACCGTTTTTTTTAAGGGCCCACCGTTACCTACCTACCTAGGGCGCCTCGCACTGTTTTACGGCCCCTACCTCCCGCGACCCGCGACCCGCCCCTTAAGGCCCCGTCGCGCCGCCCCTTAGCCGCTCGCGCGCGGCCTTTTTTTTTTTTTTTTTTTTTTTTTTTTTTTCCCGCGCGCGCCTTCTTTCCCTCGCGCGCGGCCCGTCGCCTGCTCGCGTGCGCCCCGCAACCGCCCGTCGCCTGCTCGCGCGCGGCCCACAGCCGCCCGTCGCTTGCTCGCGCACGCCCAGCAGCCGCCCGTCGCCTGCTAGCGCACGCCCCGCAGCCGCCCGTTGCCTGCTCGCGCGCGCCCCGCAGCCGCCCGTCGCCTGCTCGCGCACGTCCCGCAGGCCCGCAGCCCGCTGTCGCAGCGGCCGCCCGCCCGCAGCCGCCCGTCGCCTGCTCGCGCGCGCCCCGCAGCCGCCCGTCGCCTGCTCGCGCGCGCCCCGCAGCCGCCCGTCGCCTGCTAGCGCACGCCCCGCTGCCCGCAGCCGCTCGTACGCCGCTGCTTCCGCTGCTGCTTGCGCACTGCTGCCTCCCGAGCGCCGCCGCTGCCCGTGCGCCGTCGCTGCCCGTGCACCACCGTTCCCAGTGCGCCACTGCCGCCTGTGCGCTTCTGCAGCCGCCGCCCGCGAGGCACTCGCTCTCACTGTTGTTTACCTTCTACCTACTACTGCCGCTCGTGTGCCACTACGGACAGTCGACCCCGCCCGCGCCTTGCCTAGCGGCCCCGCCGGCCCCGTTGACCCTCCGCACACCTTTCCAGCGGCCTGATTCCTACTACTACTGTTACTACTGCTACTGTCACTATGGCTAGTCCGCCAGTTCTAGCTTTCGATGCCGAGGGCCGTCCAGTGAAGTTCGAAACCTGGCTCGATGACCTGCACCTGTTCCTACAGCTCACTGTACGATCACGCCTTAGGCCATGCCACTGCCCCTGACTCGACTGCTGACAGCACTCTGCGTTCCCAGTGGCAGACCCGTGATGCGCACGCTCGCTTTGCTATTCGCAACTCCCTGCCGCTAGACGAGCGCGAGCACTTCGGCCAGTGCAAGACTGCTAAGGACCTCTACACCGCTGTAGTTGCCCGCTACTCCTCACCCGCTTCTGCCACGCTAGGCCGCCTCACTCTCCCCTACCTGTTCCCCGACCTAGCCTCCTTTCACACTGTCGCAGACCTCATCACCCACCTTAAGACTAGTGAGGCCCGCTTTCGCGCTGCTATGCCTGCCGAGTTTCTCACTAGCAACCCCCCCCCGCTCTGGATCACTCTCTACCACATCGTCACCCGCCTCCCTGACTCTCTGCGCGCAGTCAGGGACCACTTCCTCTCTCGCTCCCCCACTGAGCTCACTGTTGCCCTCCTCGAGAAGGAACTGCTTGCAGCTGAGGCGAGCATCGTCGCTGTAGGCACCTCTCGTGGCGACCCCCGCACCCCGTTCTTTGAGGGGTGTTCCCCTTCCCCCCTCCTCCCCTCTGTCGCCTCTGCTGCTGCTGTCGACCTTCTTGGTGCTGAGAAGGTCGGGACCGCGTCTGCTTCGAGCGGGCGCCGCAGGAACAAAGGGGGCAGGGGTGGGGGTGGTGGCGGAGGAGGTGGGGGTGGAGGCGGTGCGAGTGGAGGCGCGGCTGGGGAGACTGGTGGCGGCAGTGGGGGAGGAGACAGCAGCGGTGGGAGTGGTGGTGGAGGCGGCAGCGGAGGCGGAGGTGGTCGTGGCGGCGGCAGGGGTGGAGGTGGCCGGGGCGGCGGCGGTGGGGGTGGTGGTCGTGGAGGCACTGGCGGAGGGCAGAGTCAGCAGCCCGCCCCGACACTTCAGGCCGCCCGTGAGTGGTATGCGCAGCGTAGCGTTACCTGCACGTACGTCATTCGCACAGGTGACCGCAGCGGCCAGCAGTGTGGGAGGCCGCACCCCACGCAGCGCTGCTTCGCGCGCCTTAACGACGCGTGGCGCACTCAGTTTCCTGCTGCCACTGAGCTGCCGCGCTGGGCTGATCTGGAAAAGAGGGGTGTTGATATTTGGGCTTTAGACTTTGATGCTATTCTCACTGCCATGTATGCGATGTCTATTAGTGGAGAGGGTGCTCAGTACTTGCGTGTTCCGCCCGACCCGGGCATTCAGGCCAGTCCGGCTGCCGCTCTAGGTGCTAGTGCGTCTCCTCCCACAGGTCCTGGTGAGGCTGCAGCCCTAGGTGCTCGTGCGTCCGTGCCCCCTGGTACTGAGTCGACTGCAGCACTGCACACCTTCACCTTGGACTCAGGTGCTTCTCGCTCTTTCTTTCGTGACCGCACTGTCCTTGAGCCACTCGCTCGGCCAGTTGCTGTCTCCCTTGCTGACCCCTCTGGGGGTCCGGTCATTGCGACCTCCTCCACTGTCCTTCCTTGTCCGGCGGTCCCGTCCGGCACGCTGTCAGGTCTCTACCTCCCCTCGTTCTCTACGAACTTGGTGGCAGGTAGTGCGCTCCAGGACGGGGGTGTTCACCAGTTCACCCCTGCCTACGAGCGCGTGACACACTGCACGTGTGCTCGTACGGGCCGCCACCTGGCTACCTTCACTCGGGAGCCGGGGTCGGACCTTTACACACTGACCACTGACTCCCCTCAGGTAGCTGCGTCCGCGTCTGCGTCTACGTCAGGTCAGCTGTCCGCCCCCTGCTCGTGTCGCTCTCTGGCGCATGAGACTGTCCTTTGGCACCACCGCCTTGGTCACCCGTCTGTGCAGCGCCTTCGGGCCATGCACAAACGGGACCTTGTTGCTGGTCTTCCCAGGGTGCTCCCTCCCCTTCCCGACTCCCCTGCTCCTCCCTGTCTTCCCTGTGTCGAGGGGCGGCAGCGCGCCGCTCCTCACTCCTCCTCCTTTCCCCCGATGACTGCTCCTTTGCAGACACTCCACATGGACGTGTGGGGCCCAGCCCGCGTCCGTGGTCAGGGTCAGGAGAGGTACTTCCTGATTGTTGTTGACGACTTCTCGCGCTACACCACGGTCTTCCCCTTGCGCACCAAGGGTGACGTCCCTGATGTCTTGATCCCTTGGATCCGCAGATCTCGTCTCCAGCTTAGTGAGCGTTTCCGCTCCGACTTCCCTGTCCTGCGTCTGCACTCTGACAGAGGTGGAGAGTTTTCCTCTGGCCTCTTGGAGGCCTTCTGTCAGCAGGAGGGCATTGAGCAGTCGTTCACGCTTTCGGCCTCTCCACAGCAGAATGGGGTTGCTGAGCGCCGCATTGGCTTGGTCATGGAGGTCGCTCGTACCTCCTTGGTTCATGCGGCTGCCCCCCACTTTCTGTGGCCGTTTGCAGTCCGATACGCTGCGCATCAGCTCAACCTCTGGCCCCGTGTCCCCTTGCCCGAGACTTCTCCGACACTGCGTTGGACGGGAGAGGCTGGCGATGCGTCGCGTTTTCGGGTCTGGGGATCCCGAGCTTTTGTCCGCGACACGTCCGCGGACAAGCTCTCCCGTCGCGCTGTCCCCTGCGTCTTCCTTGGCTTTGTCCCGGACGCCCCTGGTTGGCAGTTCTACCACCCCACCTCGCGGCGTGTCCTGGCCTCTCAGGACGTCACTTTTGACGAGTCCGTCCCCTACTACCGCCTCTTCCCCTACCGCACTGCCCCGCTCCCCCCCCCGCCTCTCTTCCTCGCTCCAGGTGCTGAGGTACCAGACCCCCTCCCCCCTCAGGGTGCCGCTCCCTCAGGTGTGTCCCAGGTAGACCCGGGTGAGCCTGTCGAGGTAGCTGTTGACTCTCGTCCTGCTCGGGGTACTGAGCCTGGGGGTGCTGCGTCTGGGGGTGCTGAGCCTGGGGGTGCTGCGTCTGGGGGTGCTGAGCCTGGGAGTGCTGAGTCTGGGGGTGCGGAGCCTGGGGGTGTTGAGCCTGGAGGTGCGGAGCCTGGAGGTGCGGAGCCTGGAGGTGCTGAGCCTGGGGGTGCTGCGTCTGGGGGTGCTGAGCCTGAGCGTGCTACACCTGGAGGAGCCCTCTCCTCCCAGCAGCTGCAGGAGAGGTACCTCGAGTACTGCCGCCTCCGGAGAGGTGCTGCTGGAGCTCGTCCCGGTGCTTCCCCTCCTACCCAGGAGCTCCCCCCCATTCAGCAGATCCGCGAGTGGTACACACGACGCTGCAGTCTTCGGAGTGGTGCTCCTGGTGCTGCGGACCCTGGGGGTGGCGCTGCTGCTGGTACTGAGGACTCGGACGTTGGAGC